GGGCCATTGGCCTGATCCAACATTGGCTTCTCTTATGTTCTTATGTGTGGGGCAGTGATGCTCTGTATTCTTGGTGCTTGGGGAGGGCCAACAGTGGGAGGGCTTCTAGTGTCCTGGCCCCGCTGGTGGACTTCCTGGTGGCATAGAAACTCGGGGTACAGCAATAGAGTACAGTAAATACAGAATAAATTGCTGAAAAAGTTCACTAAGATATATGCAAAATTATACAATGAAAAATATTCAAATTTCCATAATGTAATTTAATACTTGTTTTCAACAGGTGCCAACAGATGTACAGCACAGGAACAAGACGAACACTTCTCGAGTGTATCTGCGTTCGTTAGATTAGTGGTTTTAATATTAATATTATCATGCTTTAATTCACAGAACGTATGGATACCCTTGTGGTGAATTAAATTGTGAGAAGTTCATTGAAAATTGTATGTATGGCTTTAAACTTTATTGAATAAATATACTAGTGAGACTTTCTGGAGTGTTTGTTTCCTATTACATTATGTTTATTGTTATGTTGATAGGAGTTTGACAAAGACCATTGTCGAAACGAACGCAGATACACTCGAGAAGTGTTCGCCCTGGTCCTGTGGAAAACAAGAGTGAACTTTTCCAGCAATTTATTCTGTATTTACTGGACATCCTGGTGGCACCTGGTTTTTTGGCCACTGTGTGACACAGAGTGTTGGGCTGGATGGGCCATTGGCCTGGTCCAACATGGCTTCTCTTATGTTCTTATCTCTGAGGCAGCGATGCTCTGTATTTTTAATATTTGGGGGCAACAGTGGGAGGGCTTCTGGAGTTCTGGCCCCGCTGGTGGACCTCCTGATGGCACGTGGGTTTTGGCCAGTGTGTGACACAGAGTGCTGGACTGGAGGGGCCACTGCCCTGATCCAGCACAGCTTCTCTTATGTTCTTAAAAACCACCAGTATTACCTATGCAGAATCTTGAGATATTAATAGTAAACCTGGGACCCATGCTAGTGGGTAGGTATGCAGAGGAGGGGGGAGCAGGCTCTGAGGATTACCGGGGGGGGGGGGGCCTATGCAGACGGAGAACCAATCACTCTCTCACCCCACCCCCATTCTCCAGGGGAATGGATCTCCGTTGTCTGAAGATGAGCTGCGATTCTAGGAGAACTCCGGGCACCACATGGCGGTTGTAGCAACCCAGCAGCAGCAGCCAGTTGCTGTTCTCCATTTCAAACTAAGCCCAGAGGCGAAGCTCGAATCATACTGATGGCTTATTTTCACATTTTAAGTTTTTTATTTACTTATTTCAAACGCTCATTAGGGGTCTACCTCACAAGGCTGTTTGGAACATGTTTAACCCTGGAGACATGCTATAAAAATGTTTATTAATAACATGATGATGGGGTGAGTTAGTGGGAACTTATAGGTATTTGATAATTAAGGGCAATTAACACATGGGATTCACTGCTGCAGGAAGTGGCGGTGGCTCCAACAACAGAACTTCCTCCAGGAGGAGGAGGAGGAGGAGGAGGAGATTGGATTTATACGCTGCTCTTTACTCGGAGTCTCAGAGCGGCTTACAAACTCCTCTCCCTTCCCCTCCCCACAACAGACACCCTGGGAGGTAGGTGGGGCTGAGAGAGCTCTGACAGAAACTGCTCTTTTTTCAAGAATACCTCTTATCCGAACTACAGCTTGCCCAAGGTCATCCAGCAGGTGCAAAGTGGAGGAGTGGGGAATCAAACCCAGTTCTCCCAGATTAGAGCCCGTGCACTTAACCACGACACCAAACCACAGTGATAAAAAACACACACCTTATAAGACCTCAATTTAAAAATCTCCCATTCGGACTGCCAAGTGAATTAAAAAACAAACAAACAAATTAGTCCAATGCAGTCCTAAATAAAGCTGTCTTCGTCTGCCTCCTGAAGATCGAAAGTGAGGGGGCCGGGCGCACCTCTCTGGGGAGGTTGTTCTATAATCATGGGGCCGCCACCGAAAAGGCCCTGTCTTTCTCGAGTTTCACCTCTGATCCTCCAGCTTGTTGGTAGGGTTGCCAGTTCTGACTTGGGAAGTACCTGGAGATTTTGGAAGTGGAGCCTGGGGAGGGCGGGGTTTGGGGAGAGGAGGACCTCAGTAGGGTACAAGGCCACAGAGTCCACCCTCCAAAGCGGCCATTTTCTCCAGGGGAACTGATCTCGGCTGTCTGGAGGTCAACTCTAAAAGCAGGCGATCTCCAGGTGCCACCTAGACGCTGGCAACCACAGTCACTGGGGTTCTGCATGTAAATAAATGGTTCCGTGTTCCCTCTAAGCCGAGTCAGTGTGAGCCAGCTCATAGTTTTTTAGCCTCCGGCTCACACATTTTTGTCTCAGCTCAGGAAGGATGTGGCTCCAGAGCAGACTAATTGATGCAGCAGCCAAATGGCTCGCTCACAACTTTAATGCCAGCGGCTCACAAAGTAGGGTTTTTGCTCACAGGATTCCACAGCTTAGAGGGAGCAAAGTGTCTTCTTCTGCGGCTTCCGTAACGCAGCACTAAGACAGACAGCTCGCTACCCGTCTCCGGAAAACATAGATGCTCCTTCCACATACTTTCATAATGAAAGGCAGCTCGCGATAAATCCTAGGGGCTCAGACGGCCGGGGGGGGAGAAAAGATTTCGAAAAGCCATTTCATTTCCATCAGGCTGCGCTTGGACGGCCAACAACAGCCCTGTCCCAATTTCCTCTTATTTCGGTTTGACTGGCAGGCCGGGTTCATCCCGAGCCAAGAGTCCGCTGAGGCCGCAAAGGGGCACCGGCGTCCCGAACTCATCAGGAAATTGCGCTCTCTCATCTGAGCCACTCAGGAGAGCTCTCAAAGAGCTCCCATTATCGAGGGAAGTCTTTAGCCAGAGAGGGTCGATCGGATCTGTGCCGTCTGGCAGGAAAACCGGGGCGGGAGGAGGCCAGGAGAGGTATCAGATAGATGGAGTTTCGGGAAAGCGCTTCCACTCAATAAAGGACTTGGAGGATTTCGCAAGATTGGGGCGGGGGGAATATTTGATCTTCAGGTATACAGGAGTAATGTTCTGCAACTGGAACTGCTGAATTATTATTATGTATGTTAGGGATGCCAACTTGCAGGCAGGGCCTTGAGATCTCCTGGAATTACAATCAGTGTTCCCTCTAAGCTGAGTTAGTATGAGCTAGCTCACAGTTTTTCAGCCTCTGGATCACACATTTTTTGTCTCAGCCCAGGAAGGACGGCTCCAGAGCAAACTAGTTCTGCAAAGGAGGCTAACAGAACGATTATTTTTCCTGAGTTGCCATCAAGGAGGGGGGTGTTGAGTGACGTTTCGAGTCATCTCATGAGCTCACGCCAGAGACAAAATTTGAACAGGCCCCTTCCTGGTTCACGACTCGATCTCCGTCATGCTCCCTGTAACAAGGTTCCAGATCTTACCCTCCTTCTTCCGAATACTTGTGCGCGAAGGACAAGATGTCCGACGCCCGCCCACTGCCGTCACAGATCACCACAGGAAGAGGGGGCTCCTCGCGGAGGCATTCCAAGACTATCGATATGACGTTGGGGCCCCCTTCGACAATCAGTCCGACCACCGGCACACCCTGCCCGAGCCCTGCGGAAGAAAGCGGGCTTAGTGAACCTTTCCCGAAGGAAGGGAGTTTCAGAGGGGAGCTGGGTTGGTCTGCATTACATAAGAACATAAGAGAAGCCAATGCTGGATCAGGCCAATGGACCATCCAGTCCAACACTCTGGGTCACACAGTGGCCAAAAATACCCGGTGCCATCAGGAGGTCCACCAGTGGGGCCAGGACACTAGGAGCCCTCCCACTGTTGCCCCCCCCCACTCCCCAAGCACCAAGAATAAAGAGCATCCCTTGCCACAGACTGATAGTTCCTATCTATACCTTGTGGCTAATAGCCACTGATGGACCTCTGCCCCATATGTTTATCCAATTCCCTCTTGAAGCCGTCCATGCTTGTAGCCGCCACCACTTCCTGTGGCAGTGAATTCCATGTGTGAATCACTCTTTGGGTGAAGAAGGACTTCCTTTTATCCGTTCTATCCCGACTGCTCAGCAATTTCATGGAGTGCTCCCCGAGTTCTTGTATTGTGAGAAAGGGAGAAAGTACTTCTTTCTCCACCTGCTCTATCCCATGCACAAACCTCGATTATGTCACCCCTCAGCCGTCATTTCTCCAGGCTAAAGAGTCCCAAGCGCTTTAACCTTCCTTCATAGGGAAAGTGTTCCAACACTTTTATCATCTTAGTTGCCCTTTTCTGCACTTTCCCCAATGCTACAATATGCTTTTTGAGGTGTGGTGACCAGAACTGTACACAGTACTCCAGATGAGGTCACACCATTGAACAGTGAAGATTCAAGTCCCAGCAACATCTCAGAGACCAACAAACTTTTCAGGGTATGGACTTCCGAGAGTCAAAGCTAGCGGTCCTCAAC